TGTACTCACCTGGGCAGGGGGTAGATGTAGTTGTACTCACCTAGTTTGGGCAGGGGGTAGCTGTAGTTGTACTCACCAAGTTTGGGCAGGGGGTAGCTGTAGTTGTACTCACCTAGTTTGGGCAGGGGGTAGCTGTAGTTGTACTCACCTAGTTTAGGCAGGGGGTAGATGTAGTTGTACTCACCTAGTTTGGGCAGGGGGTAGATGTAGTTGTACTCACCTGGGCAGGGGGTAGCTGTAGTTGTACTCACCTAGTTTGGGCAGGGGGTAGATGTTGTTGTACTCACCTAGTTTGGGCAGGGGGTAGCTGTAGTTGTACTCACCTAGTTTAGGCAGGGGGTAGATGTAGTTGTACTCACCTGGGCAGGGGGTAGCTGTAGTTGTACTCACCAAGTTTGGGCAGGGGGTAGCTGTAGTTGTACTCACCTAGTTTAGGCAGGGGGTAGCTGTAGTTGTACTCACCTGGGCAGGGGGTAGATGTAGTTGTACTCACCTAGTTTGGGCAGGGGGTAGCTGTAGTTGTACTCACCTAGTTTGGCCAGGGGGTAGATGTAGTTGTACTCACCTGGGCAGGGGGTAGATGTAGTTGTACTCACCTAGTTTGGGCAGGGGGTAGCTGTAGTTGTACTCACCTAGTTTGGGCAGGGGGTAGCTGTAGTTGTACTCACCTGGGCAGGGGGTAGCTGTAGTTGTACTCACCTAGTTTGGGCAGGGGGTAGCTGTAGTTGTACTCACCTAGTTTGGGCAGGGGGTAGCTGTAGTTGTACTCACCTAGTTTGGGCAGGGGGTAGCTGTAGTTGTACTCACCTAGTTTGGGCAGGGGGTAGATGTAGTTGTACTCACCTAGTTTGGGCAGGGGGTAGCTGTAGTTGTACTCACCAAGTTTGGCCAGGGGGTAGCTGTAGTTGTACTCACCTGGGCAGGGGGTAGCTGTAGTTGTACTCACCTGGGCAGGGGGTAGATGTAGTTGTACTCACCTAGTTTGGGCAGGGGGTAGCTGTAGTTGTACTCACCTGGGCAGGGGGTAGCTGTAGTTGTACTCACCTGGGCAGGGGGTAGCTGTAGTTGTACTCACCTAGTTTGGGCAGGGGGTAGCTGTAGTTGTACTCACCAAGTTTGGGCAGGGGGTAGTTGTAGTTGTACTCACCTAGTTTGGGCAGGGGGTAGCTGTAGTTGTACTCACCTAGTTTGGGCAGGGGGTAGATGTAGTTGTACTCACCTAGTTTAGGCAGGGGGTAGCTGTAGTTGTACTCACCTAGTTTGGGCAGGGGGTAGTTGTAGTTGTACTCACCTAGTTTGGGCAGGGGGTAGATGTAGTTGTACTCACCTGGGCAGGGGGTAGATGTAGTTGTACTCACCTAGTTTGGGCAGGGGGTAGCTGTAGTTGTACTCACCTAGTTTAGGCAGGGGGTAGATGTTGTTGTACTCACCTAGTTTGGGCAGGGGGTAGATGTAGTTGTACTCACCTAGTTTGGGCAGGGGGTAGCTGTAGTTGTACTCACCTGGCCAGGGGGTAGATGTAGTTGTACTCACCTAGTTTGGGCAGGGGGTAGCTGTAGTTGTACTCACCTGGCCAGGGGGTAGCTGTAGTTGTACTCACCTAGTTTGGGCAGGGGGTAGCTGTAGTTGTACTCACCTGGGCAGGGGGTAGCTGTAGTTGTACTCACCTGGGCAGGGGGTAGCTGTAGTTGTACTCACCTAGTTTGGGCAGGGGGTAGCTGTAGTTGTACTCACCTGGGCAGGGGGTAGATGTAGTTGTACTCACCTAGTTTGGGCAGGGGGTAGCTGTAGTTGTACTCACCTAGTTTGGGCAGGGGGTAGCTGTAGTTGTACTCACCTAGTTTGGGCAGGGGGTAGCTGTAGTTGTACTCACCTGGGCAGGGGGTAGATGTAGTTGTACTCACCTAGTTTGGGCAGGGGGTAGCTGTAGTTGTACTCACCTAGTTTGGGCAGGGGGTAGATGTAGTTGTACTCACCTAGTTTGGGCAGGGGGTAGCTGTAGTTGTACTCACCTAGTTTGGGCAGAGGGTAGCTGTAGTTGTACTCACCTAGTTTGGGCAGGGGGTAGCTGTAGTTGTACTCACCTAGTTTCGGCAGAGGGTAGCTGTAGTTGTACTCACCAAGTTTGGGCAGGGGGTAGCTGTAGTTGTACTCACCTAGTTTGGGCAGGGGGTAGATGTAGTTGTACTCACCTCGTTTGGGCAGGGGGTAGATGTAGTTGTACTCACCTAGTTTGGCCAGGGGGTAGCTGTAGTTGTACTCACCTGGGCAGGGGGTAGCTGTAGTTGTACTCACCTAGTTTGGGCAGGGGGTAGTTGTAGTTGTACTCACCTGGGCAGGGGGTAGATGTAGTTGTACTCACCTGGGCAGGGGGTAGCTGTAGTTGTACTCACCTGGGCAGGGGGTAGCTGTAGTTGTACTCACCTGGGCAGGGGGTAGATGTAGTTGTACTCACCTAGTTTGGGCAGGGGGTAGCTGTAGTTGTACTCACCTGGGCAGGGGGTAGCTGTAGTTGTACTCACCAAGTTTGGGCAGGGGGTAGCTGTAGTTGTACTCACCTAGTTTGGGCAGGGGGTAGCTGTAGTTGTACTCACCTAGTTTGGGCAGAGGGTAGCTGTAGTTGTACTCACCTAGTTTGGCCAGGGGGTAGCTGTAGTTGTACTCACCTGGGCAGGGGGTAGCTGTAGTTGTACTCACCTAGTTTGGGCAGGGGGTAGATGTAGTTGTACTCACCTAGTTTGGCCAGGGGGTAGATGTAGTTGTACTCACCTAGTTTGGCCAGGGGGTAGCTGTAGTTGTACTCACCTGGGCAGGGGGTAGCTGTAGTTGTACTCACCTGGGCAGGGGGTAGCTGTAGTTGTACTCACCTGGGCACAGGGGGTAGATGTAGTTGTACTCACCTAGTTTGGCCAGGGGGTAGATGTAGTTGTACTCACCTAGTTTGGCCAGGGGGTAGCTGTAGTTGTACTCACCTGGGCAGGGGGTAGCTGTAGTTGTACTCACCTAGTTTGGGCAGGGGGTAGTTGTAGTTGTACTCACCTAGTTTGGGCAGGGGGTAGCTGTAGTTGTACTCACCTGGGCAGGGGGTAGATGTAGTTGTACTCACCTAGTTTGGGCAGGGGGTAGCTGTAGTTGTACTCACCTGGGCAGGGGGTAGATGTAGTTGTACTCACCTGGGCAGGGGGTAGATGTAGTTGTACTCACCTAGTTTGGGCAGGGGGTAGCTGTAGTTGTACTCACCAAGTTTGGGCAGGGGGTAGCTGTAGTTGTACTCACCTAGTTTGGGCAGGGGGTAGCTGTAGTTGTACTCACCTAGTTTAGGCAGGGGGTAGATGTAGTTGTACTCACCTAGTTTGGGCAGGGGGTAGATGTAGTTGTACTCACCTGGGCAGGGGGTAGCTGTAGTTGTACTCACCTAGTTTGGGCAGGGGGTAGATGTTGTTGTACTCACCTAGTTTGGGCAGGGGGTAGCTGTAGTTGTACTCACCTAGTTTAGGCAGGGGGTAGATGTAGTTGTACTCACCTGGGCAGGGGGTAGCTGTAGTTGTACTCACCAAGTTTGGGCAGGGGGTAGCTGTAGTTGTACTCACCTAGTTTGGGCAGGGGGTAGCTGTAGTTGTACTCACCTAGTTTGGGCAGGGGGTAGATGTAGTTGTACTCACCTGGGCAGGGGGTAGCTGTAGTTGTACTCACCTGGGCAGGGGGTAGCTGTAGTTGTACTCACCAAGTTTGGGCAGGGGGTAGCTGTAGTTGTACTCACCTGGGCAGGGGGTAGATGTAGTTGTACTCACCTAGTTTAGGCAGGGGGTAGCTGTAGTTGTACTCACCTAGTTTGGGCAGGGGGTAGCTGTAGTTGTACTCACCTGGGCAGGGGGTAGCTGTAGTTGTACTCACCTAGTTTGGGCAGGGGGTAGCTGTAGTTGTACTCACCTAGTTTGGGCAGGGGGTAGATGTAGTTGTACTCACCTAGTTTGGGCAGGGGGTAGCTGTAGTTGTACTCACCTAGTTTGGGCAGGGGGTAGATGTAGTTGTACTCACCTGGGCAGGGGGTAGATGTAGTTGTACTCACCTAGTTTGGGCAGGGGGTAGCTGTAGTTGTACTCACCTAGTTTGGGCAGGGGGTAACTGTAGTTGTACTCACCTGGGCAGGGGGTAGCTGTAGTTGTACTCACCTAGTTTGGGCAGGGGGTAGATGTTGTTGTACTCACCTAGTTTGGGCAGGGGGTAGCTGTAGTTGTACTCACCACGTTTAGGCAGGGGGTAGATGTAGTTGTACTCACCTAGTTTGGGCAGGGGGTAGATGTAGTTGTACTCACCTAGTTTGGGCAGGGGGTAGATGTAGTTGTACTCACCTAGTTTGGGCAGGGGGTAGCTGTAGTTGTACTCACCTGGCCAGGGGGTAGATGTTGTTGTACTCACCTAATTTGGGCAGGGGGTAGATGTAGTTGTACTCACCTAGTTTGGGCAGGGGGTAGCTGTAGTTGTACTCACCAATTTTGGGCAGGGGGTAGCTGTAGTTGTACTCACCAAGTTTGGGCAGGGGGTAGCTGTAGTTGTACTCACCAAGTTTGGGCAGGGGGTAGCTGTAGTTGTACTCACCAAGTTTGGGCAGGGGGTAGCTGTAGTTGTACTCACCTAGTTTAGGCAGGGGGTAGCTGTAGTTGAACATGTTCTCGAACATCTCTAGGCTGTGTCTGGTCACGTTCAGCGCGTGCAGTGTGAGCCCTGTTGACTCGGGCTTTGAGTAAACTCGGATCTGTCATGGGGGGGAGGGATACGTTCAAGTCAGTGGTATTCGTGGCCAGTATCTATGCTACATCTTTAGTTAAATATATGTCGTGTTCGCTTTACTTGCCAATATTATCATGTCATTTCCCTGACCCCAATGACCCCTTCTCGCCACACTGACCCCTGTGGACCCATCTTTGACCCACCTGAACCCCCGACCCCACCATCCCCTTCTGGCCACACTGACCCCTGAGGACCCATCTTTCACCCACCTGAACCCCCGACCCAGACCGGGTCTCCCTGTAGCTCAAGTCCCCTATGACGACACACAGCAGGTACACGCTCATCTTGACCGACCTCTGGAACCTGGTGGCCACAAGGTCAGCTGACCAGGTCACTGGCACCGTCTGGAAGAACATGTCAAATTGTTAGAATCACCCAGTTCTGTTTCTATCTAGTCCCTTCAAATTGTTAAATCACCCAGCTCTGTATCTCGTCCGTTCAAATTGTTAGAATCACCCAGCTCTGTCTCTATCTAGTCCCTTTAAATTGTTAGGATCATTCAGAACTGGTGGGTACCTGACGCCCCTTTCAATCTGGCTTTAATCCACTCAGCTCTGACTGGTACCTGACTTATAGACCATAGGCCACATCATTCTTTGTATGCCTAGGTCACAGAAACTGGTGGACTCTACTTCATCTGTTGTATTTAATCCTCAAGTTCAAAGGGTGTTTTTGTGTTATTTTTACTTCAGTTGCAAAGACTATTGAATACTAGTTAAATAATATTGAAACACAAACTGTATTCTAAAAACGCATTTTTTTTTAAAAATTCCCTTTAAAATATTCATCTATAAATAAGTGCGATAGTACGTTATATCTTCACCTCCCCGTCCTGGGGCATATTGGACAAGGCGATGTACTCTGGTCTGTGGATGAGGGTGATGGTGAACTCGGCCTTGATGTTGGGCTCGTCAAAACACGGGAAGGCTTGGCGGGCGTACGTGGGTTCGAACAGGGAGGCCACCACATTCCTGGTCATGTGGTGATTAGTTAATTGGTGATTGTGTAATCAAGTCGTTGAAATGTGTCTTTATTTAACGAAAGGCTCACTCTAGCAAAGGTATAAAATTAAGCAACTTATAAGGTTGACGAATAATATTCTTACCTCACTAACTTTCACCTCACTTTACTTTAGTCTGATCCCATTTCACTAGTCTCACTGTATTAAATTGTCTCACAACTTACTAGTCTTGTTCTGATACTAAAGTATGTCTTTAATTAAATTTCACTTCAATCAGTTAAGGCTCACCTTAACAGTCTCGCCTGTCTTATCGCGCTAAAGTCTCAGCTCAGTAGTCGCATCTCACTAAACCCACCCCTCACTAAACCCACCCCTCACTAAACCCACCCCTCACTAAACCCACCCCTAACTAAACCTACCCCTCACTACACCCCCCTCACAATACCCACTCCTCACTACACCCACCCTTCCCTAACTCACCTGAGTTCCCTATCGCCGTACACCTTGTACAACCCCCTGTCCTGTACCGCCAACACCCCCTCAAACCCACCTCTCACTTAACCCACCCCTCACTACACCCACCCCTCACTAAACTCACCCCTCCCTACTCACCTGAGCTCCCTATCGCCATACACCTTGTACAACCCCCTGTCCTGTACCGCCAACACCCCCACAAACTCCACCTCCAGCCTGACACCCCCACTGACCACACTGGCCACCTCCATAACCAGGTACGAGTTGGGGTCGTAGTAGAACATCTGGAGCAGACGAACCTCGGCCCCAGTGACGTCATCCAGCAGTCTGACGCTGGTCACGTTGATGTAGAGGTGGTCGACGTGGATCAGGATGTACCGTGTGGGCCTGTGGACCTGCATCTGGGGCAGTACAGGATGGGCTGGAGTTACATGAGCATCTTACAGCTGGTAATGGAATACACAGTCGATTTGATTGCATTAACGCGTGTTGGTTTATATGATCCGACAAAGGTACATAGTGCTCTGATTGTATATATATATATATATATATATATATATATATATATATATATATATATATATATATATATATATATATATATATATAATATATATATATATATAATATATATATATATATATATATATATATATATATATATATATATATATATATATATATATATATATATATATATATATATATATGCAATAGTAATTATTCATAATTTGAT